ATTTTTGGATAGCAACTATTCCTGTTACTGTGAGCCCTCTCTCTCTCTCTCAAGAGCTGCAGCATGTATCTGGTTGATGGCCAGCTGATCTTTTGGCTACTTTTCATTTTCTATGTAGCTTGTTCTGTTAGTTGGCACAAAGTTGCAGCATATAATTGCAACTTTGACACTGGAGAATGCTGGCATAACCGGATTCTTTTCTGGAGCGAAGCTGAGGCCTCGAGACGATCTCTTCTGGTTTAAAAAGCCTGAGCTCCTGTTGTCCTTGATCCATTTTGTCCTTTTCCAGGCAAGTCTTGATTGTTAACAATGTTGCCTACAAGTTGACATCTTCTTCAGCATCGAATGAACAAAGATGTAACTGTTTATATTTTACTTTTCGATAAAATAAAACTTATGTTCATAGTTTTATCTCTTTTTCTCTAAATCTTCTTGCAGAATGCTTTTGAGCTGGCTTCGTTCTTCTGGTTTTGGGTACTTCCTCTTCTCTAGTCACGGCTTATTTAATAATCCAATCTACACTAGTGAAATAGGAATAATTTGGCATTAACAACACATTTTTGAAGTTTATCAGCAATGACATAGAACAAGAGCTCACATTTTGCAGTTTCCTTCAAAACTTCATCACTTTCTCTCGTGCTTTCTTGGTACACCAGGCATTCTTCTTTTTTCTCTCCATAACTATTATCTTGTTTAATTTTGGCTACAGTGGCAATTTGGATACAGTTCTTGCTTCATTAGTAATCATCTACTTGTCTATGTAAGGCTGATATTGGGGTATGAATCTTTAGTTTGAGACATTCATAACCTTGTATAAATGGTGCACAAGATAAGTATCCTGAAAATATTTGTTTTATTTTTTCTTAGGTTCGCGGGACAATTTCTTTGCAGCTATAGTACTTTGCCACTATATGCACTGGTTACTCAGGTACTGTAATGCATAATATCATTCATTCTGATATGCTGTATAAAAACTACCAATATCCACTGATTGCGACATGACTAGTTGATAGTAAAAATAATAAAGAAATTATGATAGAGGATAAGTCTGCTTGTGATGTTGACTCGCAAATGTTTTAATCATATTTGCTATGTACCGTTGAGAATCAAAGAAAATCTTCGTCTCTAAGTTTAACTTAGATGTTAGATATTGCCTGCATCTTTTTGGGTGGGCTCTCATCAATTCCTTTGAGTTTCATCTATTGAATAGGTCTTTGTATACATTCACTTGAAATGTATCGAAACCCAAGTAACAAAAAAAGTGGGATGCTGCTATTAGATTACGATCCACTTTTGGGGAATACCGGTATAAGTAATAACAAGAATTTTCTTGTGGAATGGCAATGTAAGGTAGCCAAGAGGAGTGGAGAATGGCTGTAATGGGCTGTTAGCTAGTCAAGAGAACTGTTCGGTGAGAGATATCAAGAAGAGTTGAAGGCTCACGAAATCTTGAGAGCCAGATTGTAGTTTATCGACAGAATTCACTCTCTCTCTCAAATTTTATGTGGATCCTATCCAAATGCTATAGCAATTGTAGTTACTTCAGATATGGGGTGGACTTTCTTCTTCCTAATACCAAACTTTGTAAGCTCAATTGGATAAGGAGACATTAGATCACCTTATTCTAGGATTTAGGACAAAAGGGTGTGGTATCATTGCCAGGGAGTCTTTCTTATATATCTTTTTTTTGGGTACCTCATTTCCGGATTCTCGGTTAATCGTGCTCTTTCTTCAAGAGAGCACCAAGGTGAAAGTTTTCAGGTAAGGTTGGTTTTTTTATTTTTTATTTTTTATTTTTTATCTGGTTACTAGTCTATGGGAGGATTAAACTTGATGACACTACCTAAAGGCCTTGCTTTATGTTTCTTTTGCAGATGGGAACAAACTACAAGGCTGCCTTAATTCCACAAAGAATAAGGGAAACAATCCATGGGTGGGGTAAGTCAGCTAGAAGGAAGAGAAGGCTCCGGATATTTACTGATGATGCCACAGTCAACACGGAAACAAGCACGGTAATGTCACTTGACGACGATGACAATCACCTTACTGATACTCCCAAAACCAACGCTGGCTATGCCGAAATCGAGTTGCTGCCGCCTGCAGCAGTAAATGTATCCATCTCTGTTGCTAATGATGCATCAAGTAGGGTTGGAACTCCCCTTCTTCAACCCTCTCTATCCCTTTCCTCACCGGTCACCCGAAACATTGATGCAGAAAACCCTTTGAGAAGCTCATCTATGCCGGTGCAAAGGTAACTCATAGCCAATAAACAAAGCTATAGAAGTACCATATCAATTAGCATAAACTTCAGTAAAGGAAACTATAAAAGTATCATGTAAGTTAGTACAAACTCGATAGAAATCAAGAGAGGCATTCAGAATGTAAGCCTAGAGATTTGTTATAGGATACTGAGCTTGTATTTGTAGAAAATAACAGTATACATGAACTGAGGCTGCTTGGAATGTAATATATTCTTCCAACAATGTAAGGAAAAGTATAGATTGCAATTACAGAAGAGAGTTTTCTGATATTCCATATATCATGAGTTTATTAGAACATAAACTTCATGAAGGAAGCTTTTATTGAAAGCTATAACAAGAGATTTCTTTGAGGATGAGGTTTAAACTCTAAACCATACCCCCATTGGATTTCCTGTCCTGGTTTGCTCCCCCACTGGATTTTTTGTTATGATTTTCTGGCTGGACTTGTGGAACATCTACAATAGAAGGTGGATCAGGTTCAGACGTTACAGTAGACTCATCTTGCACCTTAGAGTTATCAATGCGGAATTCGCAGCCACAGGGCGGAGGCGATCCCTGGCATCCTTGGCATCCCTGCCATTGGCACGGTGGACAAGAGTAGCAGCCACCACCACTGTTACCGCCACCGCAGGATTGACAACCGGAGTTGCCACCACCACAGTTACCCCCACCACATCCATAGCTTGGAGGACACCCGTATCCATTCTGCCCACAATTGCTGCCATAGTTGCAGCAATCACCACTGGTTGGACCAACAGAACTGAACTTCGGCATGCCACCTTTCAGACCAGCATGGCTGGTACCGAGCAGTTGTACGTCATGCCCAGAAGGTAAATCATTAGCTGTCATCCCATTTTCAGCATCGCTGCCCTTAAGAACTCGATGGGCAGAGGTGAGGCTCAGGCAGAGAAACACAAAGAGACCAACCAAGAAACCATTTTCTGAAACTGCCATTTTCTTGAAGCTTTGATCTCTCTTTTTGTGGAAGAAGTTGAGGAGTTTTTGGTGCTCCTCAAAGTGAAGATGCTTGTGCATTTTATAGGGTGGGGGAGTTTGTTAAGTTGGAGGAGAGAATGAAGAAGCAACAAAAGCATTGGCATTGGTTTGGCCTAAGAGTCCGGAGGCCATCATTGTGTGAGCCGTGAGGTTATTGCCTGAAATACTGTCAAGCAACAAGATCCTTCCCTAAACGCAAGGAATTTTTAATGTGAACTATATTATTATTAAGTGAATTTGAAGAGATTATTTAGTGGCAAAACTATCCAATAAAAAATATACCATCTTTTTAAAGTTCTATGGGAGTAGCTTTTATAAGTTTGAAGTATACAATAATCTCGTTTTCATTTCTTTTTCTTTTTTTCTTTTTTTCCCTAAAATTAGAGTATCGAGGTCTGAAAAGATTTAGACATTATATTCAAAGTTTATTTCACTAATTGTTGTGAAAGTTTCGCCTACTTTAAAATTAGCTCCAAAGAGGCAACAAAGAGTTTAAGTTATAATGTTTTTAACCGGAAGTTTAAATCCAAGATCTTGAAGGACGCCTTTAAATATGGACATGCTTGAGAGCACAGTTTTTTAAGCTTCTTGTTTAAATTACAAATTCTCTTAATTTTTTAAATAATGTTTAATAGATTCTTAAACTTTCAAAAATGTTTCATAAGTCTCTAAACTTTCAATTTTATCTCTAATAAATCTCTAGATTTTCAATTTTATGTCTAATAAATCCCTAGATTTTTACAAGTGTCTAATATATCCTCAACTTCAGATTTGTGTCTAGATTTTTTTTATGCATAATAGATTCTTGATCTTTCTATCATGTATAATAAGTTTATAAATTTTTAAAAAATATTTATTAAACTATGTGTCCATTAGACACAAAATTAAAAAAGTTTCAAAACTCACTAAACATAAACAAGGATATAAACTCAACTTTGAATTTAATAAAGTTTCTTTTATTACAACCAAGATGATGAAAATAACCTTTCTATTATGTCTAGTATTGTAAATAGACCCAGACTATGGGACAAAAGATTATCCCGGACCTACACCGAGGTATTGACGGTGATTCTCAAATATCGCAGAACAGAATTTGATACGATGAGATAGAATGCAATAGAAACAAAGACACAGGGAACGGGTTACCTACTCTTAACGTAACGGTCAAAGCGAACCCTTTCAACTGTGGATTAATACAACTGTAAGATCTTGTAATTATGTCATATTTCATATTCATAATCATTCTCCTGGCGTAGATCTACTTGTTGTTAATAGATCAATAAGTGTATTATTCCGATAGATAACTCTTCTATAGAGTTCATTAATACCCGAGCTCATTAGTTTACCCCCATCTATCTGAATGATCGGTCTCAACTCAGGAGGAAGAACTGGTAATAGACATAAAACCATTCATTCGGGTTCTATATTTATTCGAATAAAATGCTTAGCTAATTCCATATGTCTAACCAAAATATCCTTTCTTCCTCCAACTTTTCGATCTTCCCATTCATTACCCGCGGGTCCTTCTTCCCCTAATTCTGATTCCAAACAGTAAACAAAATTCTAATTGCGATTCTAGAAAATTTATAATAAACAACATCAAAAAAATAACATTCACATTCCAATTGATTTCATTTTAATTAAGATTGAAGGTAAGTAAACGGGACTTAAGCTCATATATTTTTAAGTAAATAATCCATTGGACCATCAATTTAATCTTTGCAGCCAAAAACCAAACAAATTTACACCCCTACTTACACCTACACATCTTTTCAAATACCCTCCAATTATTACCATGAATAAAATAAATAAATAAAATAAAATAAAAAGCTTGCAACAAAATCAACATACTAAAGAAAAACAAAAAACAAAACTAGTAGTGTCAAGAACATGAGACAAAAAAAGTGACACATGATATTAACTAATGGACAACACCATGTCCGAAGTTTCTCAGCAACATGTCCACCAAAAAAGAACAGAAAAAAAAAACAATCCTACCCCAAAAAAGAAAATTGCCTAAATGTATTCCCTGTCTGTCTCTTCTCTATCACTTTTCCCCCAATTTCCACACTGCCAAGAGAAATTGATTATTTACAGTGAGAAAACTGTGAGACAATGGGGGGTGGGGGTAGTGGTGATGAATGCAGCAGAGGAGAAGGTAAGGCTATAATGGTAATATTCTCAGAGGGCAATAAGAAAAGTAAATAATGAAGGTGAGATTATGAACTGGGAGGTCCCTGTGTTAGTCTTTGCATCTCATTTTGATCATTGAGAGTCTCCATGAGAAGAGGAGGGGCATACTGAGCTGTGCCTTGATGTTCTTCAGAGTCTTGACAGAAGGAAAGAATTATTGTATCAATGGACATCTCCACCACTCCAAAGAAAAGTGTGGCAACCACATAGCCTAGCCCCCAGCAAACCTGTCGTTTCGAGGCAGAAAAAACAAATCGAATGAGGAAAGTTACCGTTTAGCCATTGGAATATAGGCATAAAACTAACTTGACTCTTACCGTTACGATAAATTTTCACGAGACAATCAATTCTTAGCAAAGTATTGTTTTTTATGGGGTCTATTTCCTATAAAAACTATCCTTTTCGGGTCGAGTAAGTTATTACAAGACAAGTTATATGAGGTGGGTAGGCTTTCAGTTTTGTGAATGTAAATGTCTATAGCGAGGGTCCCAACACGGTAAGATAAGAATATACTCAGTTTTTAAAAAAAACACAAATCTTAGGAATGAACTGATGTGATTAGCCTAAAACTGATATGAAAGATAAGTAATATACTTTGTTCTGATCTGAAAAAAAATGATTTTTTTTACCATAAAATAGATGCAATCTTTCATCTATGGAGCTTCAGGATATTGACATGAAACTATGAAAGACATTGGCTGCTTGGCTGCACTATCTTAAGACTATTTTTCTGTCTTTTTTTCTTTCCTCTCCAAAAACTATATGAAAACAAATTTGAAAAAATCCCAGATTATAAGTTTTCTCTGCATGAAATCATTGAAACGATTATGAACCAAGTGAATGGATAATAGAACTTACCAAGACTGGAAACAGTGGGGAAGAAATCTTGTTATGAGCAGATCTGTATTTGTGGGTATCCAACATGAGAAAAGCAAAAAGAGCACTTGAGAGGCTGACACACAGTTTTCCAAGGAAAAGAATGACATCTCCTATCACATTCACTCTTCCGATGCGAAGGATGTTGTTGATTATCAACTCCGTCGCAATAGCAGACGCCTTGCAGAAGCTCTTGCCCGTTATCGCAATCTGCATGTATCAGAATAGTAAGAGTAATAGAAAAGATTGTCTACAGAATAGCAATCAATGATGAACTGATAATGAGACCAAATAAATGAGAATCAATTTACCATTATATATGCATTGCGATTTACAGATTTGATGGTCCACTCTACACATCTCAGGCAAAACCGAGACGTGTGATGCAGTGCTCTGCCAAACCAGCTATCTGGTGTGGTACTTGCAACTTTCAGTTTGCGACGAATGGACTCAAGTATAAAACGAATTGACTCCATAAAGGACACCGTCAAGGAACCGAGAGCCATCGACCCAAGGTTATATCTTGCCAGCCGTTTCATCGAAGAGAAAACTGGAAGAAATGGAATTTCAAGCTGCATTAACCAGAAACCACAAGTATTTAATGAGGAAAGAATTCGCATAACAAAATATATTAACTAAGTTTCAAAGAATTGCATACATAATAACAAGATAAATATGGAGTAGAGATGAACAATACTGTGAATATGGAAAATTCATAATGTGAAGTGAAGGTTGTCATGCTTGAAACTAATTCCTCCTAAGTGGCTAAATGGAGTGCTATTTTTGTTTTTTGTTGAAACTAACAAATAAAACAAGACAGTCAGAATCTACATCGAGAACTCAGTAGTCCCAAAAGCAGTTCAGAATAGTTGGATATGTCAATGCAGATGGCTAAGGAACTTACTGAAGTCTCACCGCGAGCCCAATAATAGGAGGCTACTGAACCTGCAATAACTGTTGAAGAGCATGCTACAAAAAATTGAGTTGCCCAATAACAACCAAATAGGTGGAAAAAGATGGCAATGTCGATATGAGGAGTATAACGGATGCTATAACCACAGCAACGGTTGCAGTTCACTCGTTTTGAAGCAAGATCATAAGCACAGCAATTCGAATTGCAATTATTCTGAACAACCTGACCAGAGCTAAAGAGATGAAGGGCAGCTGACAACCATAGCATGTAAAAAATGGCAAGGATGGCATA